TTTTTGAAATCATTTAACTAAAAAGAAATAGCCACAAATTTTTTATTTTTTTAAGAGAGAAAATGGTTTTTCAAGATCAGAAAACAAACAAGACCGTGATTAGCCCTATGATTGGTACGATGGATTTGGAGATGAGAGGAAGGGAATAAAAATTTTAGTGAACTTAATTTAAAAATTAAAAAAAAAGTTAGGTTATAACACTTTTATAAAAGAAATATGACCAAAACATAAGAAAAGGTAACTAGAAGTTTTTAAGAAAAAATTTAGTCGGTTGAATTTAAAAAGTTGAAGAAGTAAAGTTACAAAATTTTGACTAAAATATATATTTAGTTTTTTAATTTTATATAGAGTTTTAATTTAATTTTTTAATTTTCAAAAATACACTTTTAATCATTTAATTTTAATTTTAAAAATGATAACATTTAGATTTTAAATATTGACAAAACATTCGTAAATGCAAAGATTATGATTAATGGAGTATCAATATGGATAATTTAAAAAAATTGACAAAGATGATAAACATGTTTTACATTTAGGACTAAAATTAATTTAACAATTAAGTTATATATTAAGGATAAGAGGAGTATTAAATTTAATTTTCAAAACAATCATAACTTTTTAGAGTTAAAAAAAACAAAAAATATTTTTAAGTTAAAAAATCAAATTAAAAATTTATATAAAACTAACGGGCAAATGTATAAAGTAGATCTTATTGGGAGGGGTGGTAGTCTTTACCTTGACACGCACGTCCAAAACAAATTCCGTTTACAGATTTTTGTAAACTTTTAATTACAGTTAAGAATTCTAAAATTGTAATTTCATTTTTAATTCGGTGATTTGATTTTAAAATAACAGAAGAATATTATTAAATTCTATTGATTGGACAAATGTAACAATGATCTTTAAATAAAAACGTTAATTTCTACAGTTAAGAATATATAGTGCAGTGGGTACAGCAAAGGCCATCAGTAATTTATTCAAGTTTTTACAATTAATTATAACCTAAGAACAAATCAAACAATAGAGTGGCAGGCAACAGGCTTCCATGAATTTTTAAAAAGGTAATGATGAAAATACTCTTTTTTTTTAAAAAAAAAAGCATAAGTCATGATAAATAAATATTGATGTAAAAATACATATAAATTTTTTAAAATTGGGAAAAATATTAAGTCTGTGAAATCCAACGAGCATATCTGACCTTTTCGGTTTGTGGGACTCATTTTTCATGGTCAACTCTCACATTCCCCCTCTCTTTCTCTTCTCTCTTCTCCTTTTAGCCTTTGGTTTTTCTTCCTTTTCCTTTTTAATTTTTAACTTCTTGTAAAAATTATTTATTTAAAAAATATTTAAATAAAATAATAAATTTTTATGACCAAATTTTTTAAAATTTAATATGAAAAGTAATAGATATACATTTCTTTTCTATTTATGAAGTTTAAACTCTCAATTTTAAATAAGAAAATTAAGTCATTTTTACTTAATTTATTGGAAGAATTACAATGAGGTTCCAAGAAAAAAATAGTTACTAAAAAAATCTAAATAACAACCTAAATAGCCGATAATAAGTTTCTGAGTAAAAAATGACAATTTCTAAAACTTATTTTGTAATTATTTTTTTTGGACTTCATTATAATTTTCCTAATTTATTTACTATTTAAAATACACAAATATGAAATCATCACTTGGTAATTTTACTAGACAAATTTGTAATATACTAAAAAGTTACCTTTATCAAAATGTATTTATCATTAATATCTGCAAGTCATAAGATGGGAATATTTTTTTTTATGGGAATAGATCATTTTTATGAAAAAAAAATGTATTGTCACTGAAATTTATAATTAGCAATAGATACCAAGTGAGTTAACATCTTGGAATTCAAAATTTTATGAAGGTTATAAATTTCGGCAGCAATAAATTTTGCTATGAAAAAGATCCATTCCCATACCATAACTTGAAAATGTTAATGATAGATACTTTCAGTAGAAGTAATCTTTTAGTATATTATAAATTTTTCTGATGGAATTATGAAGGGAGTTTCTTATTTATATATTTTAAGTAGTAAATAAATTAAGTAAAAAAATAATTTTAAATGGTGAATGAATTAGGTAAAAAAGGCTTAATTTTTCTTTAAATTTGAGAGTTCAAAATTTTTAAATAGAAAAAAAAATTTTATTACCTTGTATATCAAATTTTAAAAAAAGAGAATCCTAAAAAAGTATTTTTGAATTCAAAATTTCAAATCAGTCTTATTTACTATACTTTAATAACAAATAACAACATTTAAAAAGAAAATGACAATATATTTTTGTAGTCATTTTTATTTAGGGTTTTAAAATTTTAAAGATACTTTTTTCGGGATTTTTTTCTTTTAAATAATTATTAGTAAAATTTATTATTTATCTGAATATTTTTAATAAATAGTTATTATAAAAATTAAAAACACTAAAAGAAGAAGAAGAAACGAAAGGCGGGGGAAGAGAGCAGACAGGGGGAGAAAGAGGATGACACGATTGACGATTTGAGAGACCAGGAGCTTATGCTTGACAAAATACAGAGACAAAAAAAAATTGATATTTTTCTCCTACTTTAATACGTTTACTGTATTTTCACCAAACTGTACTTTCAAAAAAGATGAAGGGTATCCTTCACCCATTTCAAAAGATATATTTAAAATATGGAAAAAGTGACTGTGATTCCACTAATAGCCTGCGGTTGTTGGACTAAAAATGACGTCAGCTGATAATAAACCTGTTTGGATAAGCTGATGGCAGTTTGGGAGGGTGTTTAGGCCATTTCACTTTAAGACTAAAAATGCGAGTGCATCGTGCGTTTTTCTTTTTGAAGAATTACAAAATTAATAAGAAACTCCCTGGAAGAGCGCGAGGGTGAGCAAAATTAAGCTGATGGGATGAGCTTTTTGATATCAAAATCGTCCTATGTATATTACGCCGAGAAGTAGCCCCGGGTTTGGCCAAAAAAAAAAAAAGAAGAAGTAGCCCCGGGAAGAGTGCGAGGGTGACGCGCACATGCACGTGTCAGGCTGTGTCTTCAAAAATATGACGAGTATCTTCACTAGTGGGTAATTATTATAGAAATCTCTGGTCAAAAAAAAGAAAAAAAATTAGGGAAAATTGCAAATAAAGACCCCCCAATATATAAAATGGCAATCAGGGACCCTGAATTTGAGAAATTGCTGCAGAGGACCCGATTCCAATTTGCAATTATGAAATGTGTGTTAAATGGCTGAAATGCCCCTCACTCATCATCACTGTTAATGAAGGCAGAGACCAGGATTTTAATGGGTGGCGAGAGAGCTGGTGGAGTAGGATGAGTCGAACGAGTATGTGTGATATTGGGATCTTCTAACATTGGCAATAATGCGAGTAACTTACTGAGTAAACCCTTCTTGTATTGTTCCCCTTAAGAGTTACACATCGTCACATTCTCCATCTTCATCTCTGCTGTGTGGGTGAGTAGGCTGGAGGAAGGGAGGGAATGGGAGGTATAGTTGAAGATGAAAGATATCACAATGTAGGAGGTTGTGGTTAGTTGGAGGTGGGATATTTTTGTTTTCGTAGTCTGAACGATCATCTGTCATTTGTAGTGCACGGTGCTGGTTGCGATGGGGAAGGGGTCAGAGTGTAGTGGTTTGGTGTAGAGTGTAGGTTGGATAATGGCCGTTAGTTTGACCGTGAACGTTGAGGTGTTGCCGCGGAATGAGGGAATGACGATACCATGATTTTCGGTGTTGAAGTCGTCAAGCCCTAAAGTGAAGTTGTGAAGCCCTAAAGTGATGTTGGGAAGACAGGAGGTCACGGGTTTTTAATTTGGTATGTAAATGGTTGAGTTGATGGAATAAATGAGTAAATATTTATTAGTGAAGCTAACGTACTGACTAAACGTAAATTTTTCCTGCAGATTAGTATGAAAAATGGATTTCAATAACCGAAGAAGCTGTGGGAAGGAGTTGTTCTGTTACGTGCACATTGGTGGACATTTTGAAGCAAATGGTGAAGGGATAGTTAAATATATTGGAGGGAGTGTAAGGGTAACCAGTATAAAAGAATGGATAACAGTAGACGAGTTGTGTGGAATAATTTCACAGTGGATAGGCAATGATGGTGGTGGATATGAGATTAAGTATAAAGTTAAATTTGATGAGAGTACATTGATTGATCTTTGTGATGATGGTGATATCAGCAACTTGTTTAGATATAATGACAGCAGTGGTCATGTGTATGTAGGAGGGAAAGGGAATGATAGGGAACCTAGAGCAAGGAATGATCCAGACATGTAAGTGGTTATGTTTTCCAATTGAATCTTGTTATTTACTAATATATTGTTGGTAATTCGTATAGAAATATTGTAACGAAGCTAATGGTGTTGCAGTCCTAAATTGTAATTAGTAAATGCAAGCATGTTATTGAACATAGTGGACATGTCATTTCCATTTGTAAACTTGTGTTTTAGAAATGCAGACTTGTTATTAGACATAAGCAGAGATTTCCATATGTAGACTTGTAATTCAACGTATTGAAGTTATAATTATCATATACGGACTTGTTATTTAGATCTGTAGATGTTATTTACTAACCAGTAGTTTCTATATGGAAACTTGTTATATGAGTAACTCAAGTTGTAATTACCACATACGGACTTGTTAATTGAGCAAGGAATTGTTTGTAGATGTAGACTTGTTATTTTAGTTAGTAAAGTTGTAATAACCATATGCGGACTTGTTATTTAGATATGTAGACATGTTATTTTATTCAAACCTGTCGTTTGAATATAGTTGTCCTAACTTGGTATTATGGTGGCAGGAGTGAGAATTTATTTGGACTTTCACAATACATGAATACATTTGAAACGACCATTGGTGATGAACATGAGCCAGTGAATGTTGAGAATGGAGTTGAATGCCTAACTTTTGAAGGAGGCGGATCAAGTCAGAGAAGCAAGTGTAGTGGTTCAGAGAGTCAGGGAAGACTGACGGGCGGATGAATTGTACGAAATGGGCAGGAGTGTTTGTAGGAGTGGGCCAATATGTTCCACATGCTGTTGCTTTTAGGGAAGCTGTGTACAGGTTCAGTATTGCAGAGAAGTTTGCAGCGAGATATATCAGGAATAGTAAAGAGAAGATGAATGCGAGCTATAAAGTAGAAGGGTGTCCTTGGAAGATATGTGCAAATGCTGTTGGAAAGAACAGTCATCTATTACGTGTGACTACATTTTGCAATAAGCACATTCATTCAGCCCAAGACAATTTGATTGTGACTTATGGTGGGAGTGCTGCGTTGACATCATCAGTAATAGTTGAAGAGATAAGGGACCATGCTGAAAAACGGCCCACTGAGATAAGGAAGATGTTGGAGAGGGAGTATGGTGTGAGGCTTACATATTGTCAGGCATATAGAGCAAAGGAAAAGGCAATGGAAGAAATACATGGGAAACCGGAACAGTCCTATATGTTAATACCATGGTTATGTGAAAGGTTGAAGGAAACTGATGACAAAACGGTTGCTGAATGGGCCTCCATTGGTAATAGATTTAAGCGTGTGTTCATTGCATACGGTGCATGTGTTGAGGGTTTTTTGAACGGTGCAAGGCCTATATTATATGTTGATGGTACTCATTTAAGTAGTCCATATAAGGGGACGTTACTGTCAGCTTCGGCATATGATACGGATAATGAGATGTTGCCGTTTGCAATAGCAGTGGTGAAGGGAGAGAATCTTGATGACTGGACGTGGTTTTTTCATAAGATTAAACAAATAGTTGGTTCAATGCAACTGACTATTGTGTCAGATAGACATAATTCTATAATTGGTGCTGTGCAAGCAATATTTGGGGGTGAAAGGCATGCATACTGTTATAGGCATGTGAAGGAGAACTTTAGCTCTGAATATATGAAATTAAACAGAGGTCGGAGAAGGACAAGTGAAAATTCAAAGGAAGATGCATTAAAGGTACTGGATAAAGTGGCTTATGCAAGACTTGTGGATGAGTTTGATCATGCACTGGATGATCTCAAAACCATGTCTCATGAGTTATATGAGTGGGTTATCAATCAAGGTGATGTGGATAGGTGGGCATTGAGCAAGTTCCCATATAGAAGGTGGGACAACATAACAACTAATTTAGCTGAATCTTTTAATGCTTGGATGGTAAGGGAGAGGAAGCATAACGTGGCCCAAATGATCCATGAGCACCGGGAGAAAGTAGCAAGAAAGATGCATGCATCATATGCAGCAATGACTAAGTGGAGTAATTGCGTTGGGCCAAAAATAGAGGCAAAAGTATTGGAGCATGTGTATTTCGGTAGGTACATGCACTGTGAGAATTATGGAGGGGGAAGAATATGCATGCACACATCACGTGGAGACCAAAGAGTGGACCTTGGCCTACACAAATGTAGCTGTGGAACTTGGCAAATGTTAGGGATTCCATGCTCACATGCTTGTGCAGCCATTAAGACCATAGGGGGAAACGTTAATGATTATGTTGAAGAGTGTTACAAACGTTCATCCCAAGAAAAAATCTATGCCCGGAGCATGGTTCCAGTGGTGACAATTGATATGCCTCACCTGAATGACTATACGTTTGAGAATCTTACTGCTCAACCCTTGCTTTTACCCCCAATCACTGCTAGGCCTTCTAGAAAACCAAGAAGAAATAGAAAGGAATCACAATTCCACAACAAAAAAATATATCATTGCACTAGATGTCTTCATCCTGGACATACAAAGAGGACATGCAAAAATCCTAACCCAAGTTGACTTCCACTTACAAATGGGACAACTAATTTTTTTGGCACATATAGGGTTAATCCTTCTTAATTTTTTTGGGAGCAGGATGTTAGTACACATATATTTTTTGTTACTTCTATGTTTGGGACAAAGGGACATTAAGTGGAAGATGTAAGTTAATGTGCACTTGTCATTGAATGTTGTAAAGAACTTGTTGCTGTGAAAGAAATCAGAACTTGTCACTTCTTGTTATTTTGCATAGTTAAGTTGTCATTTGCTTTTGTGCACTTGTAATTTCATGTTCATTAGAAGTGGTTGCTGTTAGAAATGTGCAGAGTGTAATTCCGTGTTTATCAGAAGTGGTTGCTGTCAGAAAACGAAATGTGTCAAAACCTTATAGGAACTTGTCATGTGGCATAGTAAAGTTGTCATTTGGCAATATGAAGTTGTCATTCCATGTTTATCAGAAGTGGTTGCTGTCAGAAAACGAAATGTGTCAAAACCTTATAGGAACTTGTCATGTGGTATAGTAAAGTTGTCATTTGGCAATATGAAGTTGTCATTCCGTGTTTATCAGAAGTGGTTGCTGTCAGAAAAGAAATGTGTCAAAACCTTATAGGAACTTGTCATGTGGCATAGTAAAGTTGTCATTTGGCAATATGAGGTTGTCATTCCGTGTTTATCAGAAGTGGTTGCTGTCAGAAAACGAAATGTGTCAAAACCTTATAGGAACTTGTCATGTGGTATAGTAAATTGTCATTTGGCAATATGAAGTTGTCATTCCGTGTTTATCAGAAGTGGTTGCTGTCAGAAAACGAAATGTGTCAAAACCTTATAGGAACTTGTCATGTGGCATAGTAAAGTTGTCATTTGGCAATATGAGGTTGTCATTCCGTGTTTATCAGAAGTGGTTGCTGTCAGAAAACGAAATGTTTCAAAACCTTATAGGAACTTGTCATGTGGTAGTAAAGTTGTCATTTGGCAATATGAAGTTGTCATTCCGTGTTTATCAGAAGTGGTTGCTGTCAGAAAACGAAATGTGTCAAAACCTTATAGGAACTTGTCATGTGGTATAGTAAAGTTGTCATTTGGCAATATGAAGTTGTCATTCCGTGTTTATCAGAAATGGTTGCTGTCAGAAAACGAAATGTGTCAAAACCTTATAGGAACTTGTCATGTGGCATAGTAAAGTTGTCATTTGGCAATGTCAACTTGTCATTCTGCGTTGATTAGAAGTGGTTGCTCTTGGAAATGTGCAATGCAATCACTGTCTTCAAAAGTATGAAAATGTATTAAAACCTTCTGGGAAATTGTCATTTTCCATAATAAACTTGTCATTTCCCTTTCTGAAGTTGTAACTTTGTGTTCACCAGTAGTGAAAATCCAGTCGTTTCATGAAAACAGTATTCGAACTTGTAATTTTCGATAGTGAACTTGTTACTTTCATTTGTGAACTTGTCATTCTATGATTATCGTAAGTGGGAATCCACTAATTTCAACAGAGAATCTCGGTTTCATGAAAACTTTATCGGAACTTATAAATTTCCCAAGTCAACTTGTCAATTTCCTTGGTGAACTTGTCATTCCGTGACTATCATAAGTGGGAATCCACTAATTTAAACAGACAATCTCGGTTTCATGAAAACTTTATCGGAACTTGTAAATTTCCCAAGTCAACTTGTCAATTTCCTTAGTGAACTTGTCATTCCGTGATTATCATAAGTGGGAATCCACTCATCTCAACAAACAATCTCGGTTTCACGAAAACCTTATGGGAACTTGTAAGTTTCACTAGTCAACTTGTCAATTTCGTTAGTGAACCTGTCATTCCGTGATTGTCGTAAGTGGAATTCCACTAATTGGAACAGAAATTTTCCCTTGCATGAAAACATCTTGGGAACTAGTGATTTGGCATTGTCAACTTGTCATTTTCCTTTGTCAACCTCTCATTCCGTGAATCAATGTGCAAATTTAGCCACCTTTAATACAGAATTACAAATTTGTATGAAAACCTTTTCACAAGTTGTCATTGGCCATAATGAACTTGTCGTTACCCGTACTAAACTTGTCATTGGCCATTTGGCCTGACTAAAGGGAAATTTGTCATTCCAAATATAAGTGTTGTTATACCATCAATCCAAGCATATCATAACCATTACAATAATTGGCATACAATTTCAACAAATGAATCAATTGACAAAGTTAGTAAAAGTCACAGCCTAATTTAAATGCTCTCTATAAAGACGTTCTCCTCTTCTTGGTCATTCGGCCCTTCTCTGGTTGTGAGATAAGATCATACACCTTCTGACGGCATTCATTGTCATCATGGTTCACCAGCCACCACATCAGCTCGCGCCGAAAAGAGGACACATCAGCCTGCACAACAAGTTTACCACTAAACAAGTCACACGTGGTCACTCTTGATTGCACAATAAATAAGGTAATGTCAATACTTCGGTATATTCAAGGGAAACATCAGGCTCCCATTTCTTGAGCCATATAAGCACATGCACACCACAATCCCTCCTGCCCACAACACCACCCTAACAGTTTCAGCTCCTCAAACCAACACAGCCAAATAACATATCACATGAGTAGGGTGTAGACACTCACAAATTTTTCTGCTATGGTACATCAGGCCAGACAATTTCCAAGTTATCACTAAAATCTGGTTTGACCATGTGAAGTATGTCTTCAAACCGATCCCTCTGCACATATGCCATATTCATCAAAAGGATAATAATATAAAACTGTCATTTCCCTATCTAACATGCACAGGTCAGTAACATCTTACACATCCGGTGATGGCCATTTCTTGGGGGTCATATGTGGCTGCCTTCTTCTGCTTGGAGGTGGTCTTCTTACGCTGTAAACTTGCTCGCATGGAATCAAGGACATTAAACTTCTGGGTCTTTGGTTCGAATGCAAAACAGAACCAATGCTCCCCAACTAGAGCAAGACCCAGAATCAAGTCACAGTCACCTATGTTGTAGCCAACATAATGCGGAAGTATTTGTCGTGCATGCTGGTTAGGATCCCAACGAGCTGGATCACGGGTCATTATGGCCTGTGAAATGCAGAAAACCAAGTTCTTATTCACTGTAACACACTTTATTCTATCATTTTCATTTCCAATCTTGTTAATCAACAAAGCCTATTAGTAATACAGAAACCTCACCATGAAGTCTGCATCAAATATGCCTCTTAATTCGGCCTTCAACTGCCTGTTGCTCTTGCACCAAAGCCTTACAGACCAACGACATCACTCGGTTACTCACCCTGTTATTTCCACCAAGCGAATGCAGCAATCGTCGGGGGATGTCTTCATCAAACATTCTGATCAAAGGACTGAAACATATTCAAGTGAGTTACTAGATGTGTTATGTTAACATGTAGTCAACAAATAAGATCACATAAGCAAAGATTTTCACTTACATCTCACCCTCATCACCTTTGACAGCTCGGCTGACTAAGTTGAAAAAAATATCCTTGGGCTCCATAGGCCTCTTCACTCTTGATTGTGCCTTCAACTCCAACCAAGGAGACTTGATCTTGCTGAACCGAACCCTAGTAGATCTCCTTAGTTGTTGTGCCTCCACAGATACAGGTTCTGGATCAGGCCCAACATATTCAACAATGGCCAGGGGGGATACCTCCATCGGTGAGTGACCTTCTGCCTCATCACCTTCAATGGTGGGTGACACTTCCTTAGGGGGCCTGGTTGCAGGTATGTCACCCTCTGTATCACCCTTGTATTCCCTCTCCCCTTCGCTCCTGTCATCACCATCCCCTTGACCCTCTTCCTCCATCTCTTCATTGTCGCTGTCATTCTCTGTGTCGCCCTTCCCATGACTGTCTCCATCTTCACTGCTTACTTCATCCTTCTCCTTTTCCTCAGTTGTGTCATCATTGTTGCGCCTCTCCTCCTCATCATCTTCAGAGTCACTTCTATTTGTAGGCACTGTCTCAACCTGAGCCTTTCCTCTTGATTACCCTTCCCACCATCTCCCTGTCTTGGGATTTGCACCTTCACCAACTCTTCATCCACCATTTTCATTAGCATCTTTTGCCCTTCCTCTATCCTCTTCATTAGGCGCTCACGTAACTTCTTCAGCTCCTGTATGTAAAAGACATTAATCAAGTAAGTATATACAACAACAAGTTCACTATGGGAAATGACACCTTCACTATGACATATTGACAAGTTTAGTAAACCAGATTACAATTCAGGTATGGCAGATCACAAGTTCATTATATAGAATTACAAGTTCAGTAAACAAAATCACAACTTAGGTATGGCAGATCACAAGTTTATTATACCGAATGACAACCTCAGTAAACCACATTACAATTCAGGTATGGCAGATCACAAGTTCATTATACAGAATTACAAGTTCAGTAAACAAAATCACAACTTAGGTATGGCAGATCACAAGTTTATTATACTGAATGACAACCTCAGTAAACCGTATTACAATTCAGGTATGGCAGATCACAAGTTCATTATACAGAATTACAAGTTCAGTAAACAAAATCATAACTTAGGTATGACAGATGACAAGTTCATTATACCGAATGACAAGTTCAGTAAACAAAATCACAACTCATGTATGGCAGATGACAAGTTCATTATACCGAATGACAAGTTCAGTAAACCATATCACAACTCGCGTATGGCAGATGACAAGTTCATTATACCGAATGACAACTTCAGTAAACCAAATTACAATTCAGGTATGGTAGATCACAAGTTCATTATACAGAATTACAAGTTCAGTAAACCATATCACAACTCACATGGCAGATGACAAGTTCATTATACCGAATGACAAGTTCAGTAAACCATATCACAACTCACGTATCGCAGATGACAAGTTCATTATACCGAATGACAAGTTCAATATACAAAATCACAAGTCAGTCTACCCATTGATAAGTTCAATATGGCCAATCACAGCATAAGTATTGCGAATAACAACTTAAGTTTGCCAAATTACAACTTAACAATGACCAAGCTCTATGTCACTATAGCAAATCAGAACTTCAGTATAGGAAATGACAACAATACTATGGCAGATAACAAGTTCAGG